TATGTATATATATGTATATATATATGTGTATATATATATATATATGTATATATATGTATATATATGTGTATATATATGTATATATATATGTATATATATATGTATATATATATGTATATATATATGTATATATGTATATATATGTATATATATATATATATATACCCAACGCGAAAGCCCTCTCCAGAGCCAGTTTGTCCGTTATAGGCTACTGTAGAAACATGCCCCTCCCCAGAGTAAAGAGGCCATAACATCGTAGAGGATGATGTCTTTCCGCTTCAAAATAAAATACCTGCCTGCACTTATTAAATAGAGAATTAAAAAGAGGCTACACTGTTTTCTATCACGTAGGAGGATCAGAATGGGATACAGTTTTAAGCGCCGGAAAAACTAGGAAGTGAATGTTGAGTTTACAGTTTTTAGCAGATAAAGTAAAAAGCTTTAAATTAAGGGTCATTTTTTTGTTACTGTCGGTAAATTGTTTTATTTTTCATGCCACTCTGATACGTTTAACTGTCAAATATCATGAACATATATGGTAAATTCTCATTACTATGGAGTCCCAAAGTGTTCTATATCAGTTATTAAACAAACACGAACGTATGAACTATAAAAGCACATTAATTAAAACAACCATGACAATTTGAAAAATAAATTATTTTAAAATGTCTCAAAATCAGTTTTTCCTATCACAACTTTTTCCCAATAATAGTTTTATTTCCTAATGCTATTGTGCCTTTATCTCATTTCAGACAATTATATGATTGACCCATATTAGTACTACTTAATTGAATGTAAACGCAATGTTAGCACTCTCAGCGTTGACCTTAATACCATTTAGATAAACAGCTTCTCTTATTCTAAAAATCTCAAACCGGAAATACCTTTATAATGTCTGCTCGCTTGACAGACAGAAGTGAAACTTCCTGATAGCGTTGGTTCACTTTTTGTAAACACACTGAACGAACGGCAGCTTGTTGTTGTTTCTGTCCGAGCTCACAGTAACGGAAAGCAGCGCTTCAAGCTCCACGATGTCCGGGCACGGTCATGGTCACGGGCATGGATGCGAGGGGGAGCACGAGCCCGCGGAGAGGGGCCTGGAGTACGGACTGTACCAGCGGATCGACCTGGAGAAGCTGCAGTGCCTGAACGAGAGCAGAGACGGGGATGGGAAGATGGTGTTCAAACCGTGGGATCGGCGGAACGAGCGGGACACGGTAACGACGATACAGAGCCTCTAACCCGGCCAGCTGTCATGTCCGTGTCCCCATAGAGCTATAGTAGTGTGTGTTTCTCTTGAGAGTGCAGGGGATGCGGAGCGGAGCCTCGCTGTGGAGCTGCGCAGTTAGTAAATCAAACACAACTTTATTGATATTACTGTGGCTGCCCAATTACATGAGGGCTGCAGTCCTGTAATTTACTTTACTGATTGGGGCTGAGCAATATGGTTGAAATCCAGGGATGGAAACCATTTTTTACTCAAATAACGTTAGTAGCAGCTTCTTTACTTAAGTTGGCCTATATGTTTGAGATGCATGTACTTTTTATTTTGTAATGCTACAGTTAAGAGGTAAATATATATCTGTTGCTTCACTACATTTATTAGACATTTACTAGTTACTTTTCAAAATAAGAATGAAAAAAAAATACCATATGAGTTTATAAATGGAATGATTTTATATAGAGATGTCTTTTATAGAGATATAGATATAGTTAAGGTTAGTTTAGCTTTTACCTATGGCAGTGAAAACTTACTTTATCCGTTGATGCATGAGTCCTAACAGCTACTACAGAGTTACATGTAATAATTAGTAACTCAGAAGGGCCTTTTCTTTTGCAGAAAAACTACTTTTACTTTGGGCTTTATTGTATGTTCAGCAGATCATACTTTTACATTGAATGAAGATTTCACATTGTTGTACTGGTACATTTACTGAATTGACTACTTATTCCACATGATGTTAATAATAGTATTTTAAGGTATTGACATACTGGTATGTCACAAAATTGCGAATGGTGGCAAAACTACATTGAATTAACTGAACTGATGTTCGTAATAATCATATTTTCTTGATTCACTGACGAATCATTTTCTTTACAAAATGTCAGGAAATAGTGGAAAATATTGCCCAGTTCTGTTTGCTCATATTAGCATCTTTGTGGCCCAGAAACCAGTCAAACCAGTATCCCGAACTGATAACGTCTCAGGGCAGATTATAGTGTTTGTTTTATTGCTGATTACCCAGAGGGAGTTCACATCCGTTTGTTTATTTTCTTCTAGTATGTCGAGAGTGACGCTGATGAAGAGCTGCTGTTCAACATCCCGTGAGTCCTAAAATCCCCATCGTCCTCATCATGATGAGCCTGAACTTTAACCTTTTCTCCTGAATGAACAAACTGTATGCTCTGCTGCCTTGTGCTTTTTTTCCTGTAATTTCAGACCAAAACTCTGATTTCATTTTAGTTTTTTTATAATTCACCGGTCATCTCTCGTGACGGCTTCATGCCGTTCACAACACCCTGTTGTTGTTGTTGTTGTTGTTTTTTGTCTTGAAAGCATCTCTTTGTGATTTTGCCCCATCTCATCAAAGATAGCGGTGAACAAACTCTGTGTCATCTCTTTCAGTTTTACAGGCAGCGTGAAGCTGAAGGGCGTCATCATCTCAGGGGAAAATGACGACTCTCATCCAGCTGAGATCCGACTGTGAGTGTCTGCTCACTGCCTCTCGTGTTGGACTGATTTTTATGTCCTATTAAAACCATAATTAAACTGATCTGCAGTTAAAGTGCTTCTATCCTTTCCCTTGCTAGAGAGCAGCGACCACATGAACTTCATTCTTGTCGTTCCAGGTACAAGAACATCCCCCACATGTCCTTCGACGACACCGGCAGAGAACCCGAGCAGGCCTTCAGACTCAACAGAGACCCTGTTGCTGAGCTGGAGTACCCGACAAAGTGAGAGCATGAACCGATTCATTTTTTTTAATCCCCTGAGTAACTTTGTGCCTTCATGCAGGAACCGTTAGTCCCATCAGGTTCCCAAATCAACACTTTCCACCTGCCTTATAAGATGCCAGTTAGCAGTGCATTCAAGAAATCTGCAGTTTAAGAATTTTACAATTACTTTTAGTCGTCGGTATGTCCAAAATACGCTGTTGTACCTTTTTTCCAAGGATTTCAGATTTGCTCCTGATTGATAAGTTGAGAGATGAAGATAAAGAAGTGATAATGCAATGTAGCTTGTAAGCTTGTTGCTTGATGACGCGGTGAAGCGATCAAAACACAAGTGGAAGCAACTCTTTTTGCTTTTCCCTTTCTGTTCGCCTCCATGCGTCACGCTTGCCTCCGCTTGTATGAGTTTCTACTTGCCACTTTGCGGTTAAGCATCGCCTCCAATTTCGTGTGAATGCTGCTGTCTCACACCGAGGTGTCTCTCCTGTTGTGTGATGATTTCCCAGGATCGCTCGTTTTTCCAATGTGCACCACCTCTCCATCCACATCTCGAAGAACTTCGGCGCAGAGAGCACCAGGGTCTACTACATCGGTCTGAGGGGAGAATACTCACAGGTCAGTCGGAGTTACAGCCTCTTTTCCTCTTTTTGTCTCATCATCTCAAATGCTGTAGATTTCGAAGAGGGAAGTGACATCCTCCTAAATGACCGTTAAGACCTCTCTAAAACAGTATCAAAAAAATAATTCGTGAAGGGAGGGTTTATTGCAGGGCTGTTGTATTAGTTTTAGCTAGGTGGACCTAATAAACTGGCTGGTGTTATTAATCTTCTTCGCGTTCCCACATGTAGGAATGTATTTCCAGCACGGTTAAACCGATAAAGATCTGTATTTTGTTTTCCTCAGTTGTCTGATGGTTTGTTTGGATGTGTGTGTCAGATCACAACTACATTGAAAGGAGACATTATTTTGACTCCTCTTCCATCCCGAGGGCAGCAGATTCTTTCCCAAAATATTTAGGTATTTGTCTGGTGTGACTCCACTTTCCCCCTCCGTTCTCCAAAGAGCCCTGCGTGTCCGTCCGTTGGTATGATGCTGTTGTGGTGACAAGCTGTGTTAGTTCTTCACAAAGTCCTTCTTTTTAAGTAACGCCAAACGCTCCTTGTGGACTGTAGCTTTGTCAAAACATGAGAGTTCCACCCCTGTTATTTATTGAACGTTAAATCTGTGTTCATGCGTGATTAAATCATGGGTTACCACTTTTCCCTTAGAGCTCTGAATAGCAACGATCATGCACGTTGCAAGCATGCAGCCATACAGTCGGTTCAGCTGGTCCAATTTAGGTCTTTGAATCTTTGTTGTCACTCTCTTGAAGTTTGATGTCTGGCCCTCTCAGAGAGATCAGTTTCACTTGATATGGTTCAAGTCATTATTTAGTCACTTATTTCGTTTTTTAATTCATTTTGTCACTATTATCTGTCATTGTGTAGCCCAAACGCTTGATTGGAAATATAGTTAGTTAGTTGATTGCAGCCATAGACTGTAGGTAAGAAGTGGACGTAGTCACCGTGACGTCACCAATGGGTTCCAGGCCTCGAGTTTGCCTTTTTTTTTTTTTTTTTGCAATCAGAAGTTGCAACACAAGAGGGTTGAGCTACGTACAACCGAAAGCTGAATAAGACATCTTAGGTGATTGTGTTTTGAATGAATGAAGTCGACATGGTATCATATACACTAAAGACCATAGTATATAACCAACTGTTTTCTCCTCTTTAGCCCTGCCGTTCTTTCTATTTAATAGATTGAACCTGAAACACTGAATGTTTGCCTGTACAGTAAGTTGACCTGTCTTTCTCTCCGTGCGCTCTTTAGGCTCACAGACACGAAGTGACGATCTGTAACTACGAGGCATCAGCCAACCCTGCAGATCACAAAGTGGGGAGCATCATCCCTCAAACCAACTTCATTTCCTGAAGAAGCGTCAGAGAGTCGGAAGGAAAACAGGCGGGAAGAGAGGTTTCTTTGGCGTCTGCTGGCTGTCATTGATGCAAAAATTCTTCAGAGGAGTTCGACGCTGCGTAGCGGCAGGCTGGTTGAGCCTCCACCGGTGACTTGAGCGCTGTACTCTGAAGACCAGAGAGCTCCAGGTGTGTCTGTAAGTGCCATGTTGTTGCTCTGTTTTCTATGGCAGTAAAGAGTGAAGGCTTAATGTGGGCAAAAAGCTTAATAATAAATGCATGAAACATTTGATAATCAAATAAAGTCTGTTGTTATCAGTTAAAGCTGCATTCTCTGATTCATGTCTGAAGATATCCACCACTTCAATAAAGTGACAGCTGCTTTTAAACAAAACACATAATAAACCAAGTGATGTTACTCTTTGATTGATTAAATGACTTTGGTCGCCATGTTTACACAATGGATTCGTAGTTGGCTTCACGCAATGATTTTTAGGTGTGAAAAATGTAAAGAAACATCATTTGCTCTCAAAAATCTTCAGGAAGAAATATAAACGGTCAGAAAATACAAAAACATGTTCTTAAAAGCCTATAAATTAATATATTTCCAATAAAACTACATTATTTGCTTTTTGTAAAGCTAACACATTGTTAACCAGTGCTGGATATTTCCTGCCACCTAGTGGTTTATTATGTGACTATTGAATCTTAGTGGGTCTCCCTCTATAGGGTACATCCCAAGTCTCTTAATTGCATCCCCGTTTCCCTCACTTGGGTCCTTTCCTTGCGTCTTAGTCCCTCCCACCAGGGATGCATGGAGGAAACCATGCGAGGAGAGAGGAAACAAGGAGATATGTTTTAGGAGACATGAGACGCCCTTTCCTCAGTTGCGTCACGTGAAGCAACGTCTGTTTCTGATGACGGTGGCTGATGATCACAGCTGATCAGCTGTCAGTCGGCTTTAACAGCTGGAGAGACTTTTCATAAGTTAGTGTCTGTTCACATGATCACTGTACTTAATAATAGTAACTAATAATACTAATAACTAATAAAGACACACAGTAATCACCACTGTAGAGGTGTTTCTCTCTGTAGTCTGTTAACAAACTGTGTCCTGTGTTCTGTTTATAAGCGCAGGATCCATTTCTACCGGTGGAATGCGATCGTCTTATTTATGAATTATTTGCGTCTGTACGTTTTGAAATTGTGACTGTGACGTCGATATTAAATAACCCAGAATATGATTATTGTTTACAACTCATCAAACCCGACAATCGGGAATGAACAGCATCACGTGACTGAATGAAATGATGATAAATTATGTAAAAAGTGTTTCGTCTCTCCAGTTACCTCTGACTTTAATTGTTTCCATAATAAAAGTTCAGATCATGAAAAGACAAATCTTTCTAATAAATGTAGAAAGTTGTTTGTGGTCCTTTTGTTGTTCAGTCTACAATGAACATTTATTTAAACCAGATGTTAAATCATAAACGAATCAAATATAAAGCTTGAGTTTAATCTGTGATCAGTCTTCACTGTTTATATGTTGAACTAAATCTCATCAGTCCGATCGGCTGCAGCGTCCAATCACATGACAAATGAACAATGAGGGGGCGTGTCGGCCGTTAAAAGACTTCCTGTAAGTCTGTTCTCGTGGTTCCTCGGAGATCCCTCCTCTCTCCTCGATCCTCACTCCTCAGAGCTAAATAAGAGCTTTGGGACGGCCGTCAATATGGCGGCGCAGAACAACTTCCGGTTCAAGCGAGGATCGAGGAGCGAGGAAATGAGACTTGGGATGTACCCATAGGCTGATATGCTCTGTTTGTCTTTCCTTGGTTTATCTCTGTGACGAGATGAGTCCCCAGGAGCTGCATGGTGCGTTCACGTAGTTTAGTAAATTTGCCGTCATCCGAGGGAGAGCGAGGGGAGTGGAGGGATTGATTGGAAGCCTGTAGGAAGTATTGAGACTCAGGCTTGGACCAAATCCAAAGCTTCCTGCAGTAGAGGTCTATGCAAACAGACTGAGGTGTGAGTCCTCCACAATAACACTTAAATACAAACATGTTGCAATTTTAAATCAAGGTGTGAACTCCTTAAAACCATCCTGTTACCTTCCCTCTTTCTATTTTCTCTCCACAAAGGGGTTATGTCATTCTTGATTTTATTGTTAGTGATGCAGTGTGGCATCATGCAGTCACCCTGAGAGTGCATTTATGAGCATGTGTAAGCTAAATATGAGGTTTGAGGTCTCCAAGAATGTTGCTATATTTAAGAAATAATTCAAAATGGAAGATTTAATCATTTTATGCTTAACAGTGCTCTGAAATGCTTAACATACATTCAATATAACATGATTTTATGCTTTTGAATGTAGCCATTTATAGTTTCCACATAATTATAACAATTGTGTCTTAATTTTATCATCTCAGATTTTTTTACAAGCAAATATTTTTTATTGTCTTTAAATGATCAGTTCACACAATTATGTTAATCCTTACTATCCTCTGGTGATATATAAATATTTTTGCTGCTCAAAGTATTAACAAGTTATATGTGGAAAACACAGTAGCCCATCTCTAGGGTCCCATTTTACCCTAATATGATCATCTACAGAAGTCATTAATATCATGTTTCAGTGCTGTCAGCACCTCAGACGAAACAATTAAACTAACGTTTGGCAGTACAGTTTCCATGTGTGGCATACTTCCTTGACTGATCGTTTAATAAACAAAAAACGAAACATTTCTATGGTATAGTATAATCTTAATCTGAAAAGTATTAAATTAATGTAGCAAGTAGCATATAGTTAATGAGTAAATACATTTTGCTATTACATATCTATATATATTTATTATATATTTGTTGTTGTATTTTTATTTTATGAAGGAAGAAAATCGTGATAAGAGAATAAGATGTTATACATCTATGATTACGGAAGGGCGGTGCTTTGTGATGACGTCTCCACGCTCTGTCTCCGCCCCCTGCCTGTGTGCGGCTAGTACCGGAAGTCCCGTTCCGTCGCGAACTGGGACTGCAAGCGGTAAGTGCAGTGCATCTGTTTTAGCTAGCGGGCCGCGAGTGTACATTTTACCACTTTATCCCGGTCCAAACTAATTGTTATTAGAGATGTTTTTCGCTTAAGGTGTATTCTAAAAAACGGCCTGGGTTAGAGGTCCGAATTTGAATCGCAGCGTTAACCTGAGATAGACGTAGAGAGACACCGGCTGAAGACAATACTGTGTGTGTGTGTGTGTGTGTGTGTGTGTGTGTGTGTGTGTGTGTGTGTGTGTGTG